CATTTCAACCATATTGTATGACTATTCTAATTGTAATGTAAACAGAAGTTTGAAGCAAGTAGTGTAATATGTAATCAAATAAAACTATATTTGTTAAAAAAACAAAAAAACAACACTATATGTGTTGAAATTAATATTATTCATAACAAATTTAAAAACTCAAACAATTATTTAGACAAATGTCAAATATGCATCTATCCAACTCAATCGTTGTAAAGAAGTATACAATTGCCATAGCTAGTCACTATTAAATATATATTCAGCCGCAAACCAGCAACTCAAATTCCTCGTATGGATCCAGTTTTGGATCCTTCATTATATGCATCAATATATCCAGCCTTGTATGCATGTATTCTGCATCCTGATCGACATTGTCACACATCTCCTAACTTCTAACTTCTTTATTTCCTAAGCATAAACACAATTACAATGTCAATTTCAAATTTTATGTCAACACATCGCTAAGAAATTACACAAGTCACTAAAACTTATACATTACAAATATGCCTTTGCATATCTTCCTCTATTGTAGAAGTCTCACCAGTATCCAGCTCGTCCATCACACGATTCTCTTCACATAGCCTCCGCCACTTAAATCGTAAGAGAGGGTTTAAGTCCACTGTTGTTTCATGCATTCCAACAGATTTAAGTCGATTTCATCTAACACATTTCCATTCAAGTTCATAACCCTGCAACAGATGAGGTCTACCTTACCTAATTCAAAAAAATCTGAATGACAGAAGATTAATCGAAAAATAATAATAAACTACCTAGCACAATGCCATACGTAGCTAAAACTAGAGAAAATCACATCTCTATGGCCAAAACCACCTTCCTTATGACTATTAGAAGCAGAAGCATCTTTGATGTCCGACCTTTCCCATTTGAACAACCTTAGATAAATATCTCACTTCATTGGTTTGCAAATATCTAAATGGTCTATGTAAAAAATCAGGTATAATACAAAAGTTGCAATTATTATCAAATTTAATTTACTACAACTAGTCATCAAAGTGTAGTGCATTATCGCTATTGTCAATTACACCATCAAACTTGATACAAAATTAAGAAATTGATTATTGTTCATAGAGTATGGTACATGGTCATACCTTTAGAAACAACACGCATCCTCATAACCATTTACTTTTCCGTACTTCCTTATTGCTTCCTTAAACCGTTCAACACTTCTTACCAACCACTAGAGTACAAACTCAATTTAATTAAGTTTGATGGCTGCTTCAATATCAGCAACTACCTCCAACAAATAAGGGCTGAACTCAGAGCATTGTATCAGACAAAGGAAAAATCCTAAAGTATATAATAAAAAATGTCTTTGGAAATCTTACTTTTGTATACTTGTTCTAATCTTCCGCAACACCTCCGCGTCCATAATTGTTTTACAATACTTGGAATCCTTAAAGATATCATTCATCTGTTGTTTTTTCGTCTTTTTCCCCTGCACATGACAACTTGCTACAGGAATTCCTAGAACCCAACCTACATGGTTTGGCAATATCCTAATACACACCCCTTGTGGCAACTCCAAACAAAATTTTTCAATATTTAACTTCTCACACAACCAATAACAGAGCTTGTGGTTTAATAATAGAGCTGGCAATTTAAGCAATTCACAAAATCCTAACTCCGTCACCCACTCCTTTTGGGTATCAAACATTTCATCGACTAATGCTCTAAATGCTAAAGGCTGACGCCTAACTTTTGGACTCTACACCATAAACAAAAATTATAAACACATTAGCGATTACACCTACTGATCCAAATTCAAGTAATATCATTAATCAACTTCAATTACTACATTACTACCTTTAGTTTGAATGGCTTCTGTGACTAATGTCCTTTCACATTGTGTTCTCTTGCTTCAATGGGAACATCGGTATAGTTACTATCATTGCTACCTTCTTCACTCAGCCCGTCCCTATATCATATTATAAGACATTACTACATCATATAAATTTTCATTCCATTCCCTACATATGCATTAAGGCATTAGGATTCAACTTCATTGTCACAATCAAATTTCAAAAAAAAAAAAAAAAATTTGAAAATCTTGCTTTTGTAAACTTGATCTAATCTTCCTCAACACCTCTGCATCCACAATTGCCTTATAATCCTTGTAATAGTCAGAGATATGTTTCATCTGCCACTTTTGCATTTTCACCTGTCCAACACGAGAACCTCCTATAGTAGGAATTCCTAGAACCCAACCTACATGGTTTGGCAATATCCTAATACACACCCCTTGTGGCAACTCCAAACAAAATTTTTCAATATTTAACTTCTCACACAACCAATAACAGAGCTTGTGGTTTAATAATAGAGCTGGCAATTTAAGCAATTCACAAAATCCTAACTCCGTCACCCACTCCTTTTGGGTATCAAACATTTCATCGACTAATGCTCTAAATGCTAAAGGCTGACGCCTAACTTTTGGACTCTACACCATAAACAAAAATTATAAACACATTAGCGATTACACCTACTGATCCAAATTCAAGTAATATCATTAATCAACTTCAATTACTACATTACTACCTTTAGTTTGAATGGCTTCTGTGACTAATGTCCTTTCACATTGTGTTCTCTTGCTTCAATGGGAACATCGGTATAGTTACTATCATTGCTACCTTCTTCACTCAGCCCGTCCCTATATCATATTATAAGACATTACTACATCATATAAATTTTCATTCCATTCCCTACATATGCATTAAGGCATTAGGATTCAACTTCATTGTCACAATCAAATTTCAAAAAAAAAAAAAAAAAAAAAAAAAAAGAAAATACAAAAGAGAGCACATTTCTGCCATACACCACTAACGATTGAGTAGACACTTTCTATTTCGTGATTATTAGTTCAATACTCATTTCAAACGTTATCACATTTAATAATTTACCACCGTTAACAAAAAGGGACCACGTCAATTTTTAATCACCAACCATTAAGACAAAAATTGAATTATGGAAATCATAATTTTATAATATATAATTTTCTATATCTAACTGATATATTTCTATGTAATTCAATCAACCATTGACAAATACAAATATATAATATTTGGTGAGATAGGAAAAAAAAAAACTCAAAATAAAGACTTAATTTCAAAAACTAATCTTTTTCCATTCACTTGAACAAGCCCAACCTCAAAAAAAAAGGAACTAATTAAACAGTTATTACAAAAATTAGATTATCAAAATAATAATTTTACACTTTATAATTCTCTACATCTAATTGGTACAGTCTAAGTAATTCAATCTAATTGGTACAGTTCTAAGTAATTCAATAAACTAATCATTATGTAAGATAGAAAAATAAAAACAACTCAATATAAAGACTTAATTTCTATTCACTTTAACAAGCTCAGCCTCAACAAAGGAACTAACAACAAAGGAACTAGTCAAGCATCTGGCCTACCTGATCAATCTCCTGGACATCGTCGAACCCTAATTGACTCCCTTAGAATTTGATTCGGTCTGTTTCTATGCTTGCACCACCTTCTCAATTACTTGTTCTAGGTTTGAACTCTTCCTTCCCTGACTTTCGTTCCTCTGTTCCTTCTCCCACTATGTTTCTTCGAAAATCATGCAAGCGAGCCTTCTCTTTCTGGTTCCCCTCTTTTTGTTTTATTATTTTTAATTGTGTACGGATAATAATTTAACTCGACCCGATCTGATCCGATCTTAGCGGATTTGGGCAGTGTATAAATGGATTTAGGATGAGTTTAGATAGTAATTTTAGTACCTGCATCGGGTTCGAAGCGGATTTGGGTTCAAGTGGTTGAGTAATGACTACCTGTTACCCATATGATTTAAAGCAAAAGTTTATATCGATCAATAATATTGAATATGTTAACCATATAAATTAAGTTACCTTACCACCAAACTACTTAATATTATTGTGTAAGATATACGCAAAAGATATATAAACTGGCAACTATATTAATTTATACTTTAAACATTTATTAATGAATCTACAATATTATTGGATAGTAATTTAATCTTATTCATAAGTAAAATTCTAATAAAATTACATACATTAAATTATAATATTTTAATAAATTGAATTTATTTTTTTTTTCATAAAGAATATTAAACAAAATTATATATATTGTATTTACATCATGTCTTAATAATTTAATTGAATGTTTTATATTTTGATAATTATGAAATTTATTAAAAATAAAAAGTTATTAATTGAATAAAATATTAAAAATGTTATAATTAAAAATTTTTAAAGCTACTTATCGACATTATTAATAAACTTCTAATGATAATTATAATTAGATCTTAATTTAAAATATGATTCATGTGGATTATGAAATCTAGATAGACTTTTAGTAAATTATAATATGACTCATATAAAATATCATAAATGAACTTATAAATATAATTATGATTGGATCTTAGTTAAATATGTTTTTATTCATATATATTAGTATACTTATAATTGGACCTTATTCAATATGTTTTTATTTTTTTATTAGCATCATCATATATATTAGTATGCTTATACTTAAAAGTCTAATGTATATAAATTAAAGATTATAACAACCATAATTAATTATAACCTACTAAGTATATTCTCTAATAAAAAAAATTAAACTTAATACTTTACATAATATTTTGTTATTTTACACTTACTTCAATATTGAAATATAATTATAGCCTTTTAAGTAATAATAATAATAATAATAATAATATAGCCTTTTAAGTAATGTAATAATAATAAATAAATAATATAATTAATTATTATTTTATTATTATAATAGTAGCTTTAAGAATAATGAGAATAATAATAACTTTAATGATAATAATAATAACAAAAATAACTATTTTATATCCTCAAAAAAAAAAAAAAAACTATTTTACCACCAAACGACGTAGTTTTGATGCAAGAGGCTTAAATGAATCTACAAGCAAAACTACGTCGTTTTAACCTAGGCTTGGATTTTAATCACACAAACTCTCTCAAACTCAACTCCAGTCAAACTTATTTTCTCCTCCCTCCTCCCTTCCCTGCGCCACTCGCTCATTTTCTGCACTTCTACAGCCTGTCTTTCTTTATACCTTCCCGTTGCTTTCGTTCTTTGCCGTCGCCTCCGCACCGTCGTGCTCTAAGCGCAAAAGTGCTCTTTAGCCACAGGTTCGTTCTTGATTTTTTCATTCTCAGTTTAATTTTTTTTCCGTTTTGCTTCGTTCCTCTCTCTCTCTCTCTCTCTTTTTATAAACACATATAAACAGACAAAGAGGAGGAATTGTTGAATTAATTTATGGGTTCAGCCGACATTATTTGCATATTGTTTTTTTTTTTCGTTTATGGTTTTGTGCATGTTTGGGTTGTTAATTCAAAGTTTGGTATATTTTTAATGATTAAAATTGTCTAGATATACTGAGAATGATTAAAAGGAATCTGCTTCTTGTACAAATTGTAAAAGCAAAACATGTTAACAAGTTTAAGTTGTTGCTGTTTTTATTTTTTTTTACCATGAGATATTTATACAAGTTTAACAAGTTCAATTTGTTCCTGAATTTTTTTTTAGTATTTTGTGATTTATATATAGTGCTGTATTTCTCTTTTTGAGAAGCATATAGGCTAACTTGAGAGCTTAAACATACAAGTGTTTCAGTCATATTGCTAACTCAAGTGGTAATTACTCAAGTGGTAATTACTAATGTCAAAGTTCTTATTTATTTATTTTTCAGATTCTTGTTCTCGCGCGAAGTCAAATTTTTTTTTTGTGGGGAAGAAGATGATGTTGATTGTTAATCCTTGCAATCTTGGTTCTTGAAAAAGTAGAGTTCAGGAATTATGTTTGTATTAAGAATATTATGTTTATGTATATGTACATGGTTTTTGTTGCAGTGTTTGTTTTTTCATTTTGACGCAGGGGGAGATGTAGGGGCTGTCAGTTTTCAACAGTTAAGTCTAGAATAGGGTTTTGATTGTAGGTGGATACAGTAAATCATAATTAGGTTTATAACCTTAGAATTAAAATTATGAAGGAAAAATAAAGAATGATTTTATCATGCTACTAGTGCTGTCTATTTATAGTGATAAATTAAACTGACTAGGAACCTTAATTAAAGAAAGAAATTAAAACTCTACTCTCTATTCAATGATAAAATAAAGTAAAATCCTAATCAAATAAGGAAACGGAAAACTAATGCAAATCTGCCTAATCAAATAAGGAAACGGAAAACTAATGCAAATCTGAAATAAAACAGTAAATTAAATAAAATCCTAGTTGTGCTAGGAATCCAATTAGGACTATTGCTCTTGCATCACATTTACTTTTTTAATTCAGTAATTTTTTTTATTGACATAGTTTTTATTATGTTTTATATGGATTTAGTTCTCATTATAATTTGTTATAGTTTAGTATTATTATATGTTAATTAGTTTTTAGTTTGTGGTTGATATTATTCTTATTGAATTTTAATAGATGTTTGATTGTCAGATTGTTTAATTGAGAATTGAGATATTGGTTTGAATTTCAATTCTTTTGTTTTATTTTAATATTACTACGTACTGTTGATTGAGAATATTACAAGTTAATTTGTTTTATTATTTTGAATGTTGCAGGTTAATTTGTTTTATTATTTTGGATATTACAGGCTAAGTTGTTTTATTATTTTGAAGTTGAATTTTAATTTAATGTATTTTTTATGTATTTTTTGTTCCACTTCGGGTTCGAATTCGGGTTTGATGGATTGAATGAATATGTGATTGAACGGGTATTTAAACGGATTCGGGTGGTATGCGGGTATTTCTAAATGGATTTGGTTTGGGGATTATTGGTTTATTCCATAATGGATTCGGGTACTTAAATTATTAACCGGTTCAGATTTGGGTAGTTTATTTTCTGCGGGTACCTGCTCTACTGCCAACCCTAGTAAACAGCGCAGCAAAAGGATGCTGGCTTTTACTTAGTTGCCCTTTCGTTATTATACGTATGCGTATTATACTTGTTTCTACTGTACAATACACTTGTAGAGCTTTTGGGACCCACGCAGCTGTGTATCTATTTTTTATTAGCCGAAAGTGGGGGCGAGTCGAACCTGTGATAATTACTGATTATCTTTTACCTTTCTCCTTCCCTTGTAGATTTCTCTCTTCACTTGAACTAGTGATGTCGTCAATCTGTGGCTCGCTTGGTCTTCTAGTTTCTCACTGGAAGCATAGTAACACTCGCTTCTTGATATTCCTTCACTCCAAGAGAAAGATTAACTTCTGCTCAACTGTAGTTTACTGTTCTGATAATGACTCAGTTTCCAAACAAAGCCAGGCACTCTCTTTTTCTCTATCTCTCTTTTCCATTTTTAAGGTTGTTTCAGATTTTGATTTCTGATTGCATTGATCTGGCTTTTAAGCGTGATCGTAATTATCTTATGTGATTGGTTTATGGCAGTTGGGCTATGATCCATCAGAAGAATTACTAGGACTCGAGGCTGATCTAAACCCAAGGTTTTTTCTGTTAATTAATGGCTACTTTGGCTCGTTTTATAATTGTTCAGTTGTTTTGGTTCTAATAATCTTTCAAATTTAATTTCAGGAGTTCTATATCTGGGGTGTCTAAACCAAGATCTTGGTTTGGTCCAACTGGTCAATATATTAGAGAGCTTCCATGTCCAAGTTGCAGGGGAAGAGGTTATACTTCATGTTCAGAGTGTGGTATTGAAAGATCTAGGTTAGATTGTTCTCAATGTAGTGGAAAGGTACTTACTTTTAGAAGAAATTATGTTGAATTCTATATTAGCTTTGCATATGAGCTCGAATGAATTGAAAGTTTAAAGCACTTGTGCAATTCAAGATAACTTGACCTTAGAAGAGAAAACACCATTTTCTATCCCACTCATCTTTATTGTGTGAGGCAAAGATTATCTTTTATTTTTGTTTATTTGATTGTTACAGGGTATAATGACTTGTCGTCAGTGCTTGGGGGATTGTGTAATATGGGAAGAGTCGATCGATGAAAAGCCATGGGAGAATGCTCGCTCAGTGTAATTTCTCTGACATTTGCTCATTACTTGCGTGTTTCTTGGCTTGCTAAGTACACTTTCCTCCATTTTCCTGGTTTCTATACCTATGTAAATACTTTGAACATCTTTCTTACTTGGTTGATCACACCCTTTAATAGACAACTGATAAAAGCTATAATCTTTTTAATCATACAAAGTTAAACATGTAAATTACATGTCAATGCTCTGAATTCATTGAACTATAAAGAGAAAATATTTTTTCTTCTTGTTTTCTTTATGCTAGTATAACCTAGTTATTATGCTGTTTCAAGTAACATGTACTTCCTGTTTGCTATAAATGAATTCTAATTCTAATTACTGTCCATCCTATTGCAATGAACCAAGTTTATTATGTGATTGTGGGATGTAGTTACCTAATGTACATGGAAGTTTAATAAATCTCAATTTTTGTTTGCTTAGTTGTATTGATGTATAGATGAGGTGATGACAGACAATGATTCTGAACTCTGGTCCTCTTTTATCCTTTTATCTTCTTAGTTCTCCACTGAAAGTGAAAGAGGATGAAGAAGTTGACAATTTAGAAATAAAGCTGGACAACAAGAAAAAATCAAAGCGTATATACCAATCACCATCTCCTGAAGTTGGACTGAAGATCAGCCGATCACTAAAAGTTGGTAGCTTCATCCCTCTTTAACATGTTCTATTTAACAATGACAGAATGCATATATTATAACATTAATTTTAGTAGCAATCTAAAGTACATATTGGATTTTGTGAATTTATTGTGGAAAAATATTTTCTTGCTTGTATTTCATCAATAGGGACACATATATATACACACACATACAAGATATTATAAACCTATTAGGAATCTAACTCTTAACAGAGTTCTATTTATAACTAATCCTTAACACTTCCCCTCAAGTTGGAGCATAGATGTTAATCATGCCCAACTACCTCCCTCAAGTTTGGGAGCATAGAATTTAATCAATGCCCAACTGTTAAAGGATAGTCCACCCGAGGTCTATTTAGAGTTTTGGTAAAGATATCTCCTAATTGTTCACTTGTTTAACATGCGCTGTTAGAGATAACACCCTGTGTATATTTCACGAATGAAATGAAACAATCAATCTCGATATGTTTTTGTCGTTCATGGAATACTGGTGGATTTGATGCAATGTGAGACAGCTTTAATTATCCACCATAACTTTGAAGGCAAGGATGACTTGGAGCAATTTTCCTCTAACAACTGTCGAATTCCCAAATTAATTGTACAAGCAAGATTTGTGCCATAGCTCGATTTCCTGATTCAGCACTCGATCGTGAGACTACATTTTTTGTTTTCTTGCTCCTCCCAGCGATATCAAATTTCCCACCTACAAAGACCACAATATCCTGAAGTTGATCTTCTATCAACCTTCGAACCTGTCCAATCCGCATCTGAAAAACATTCAATGTTCAAATGCCTATGATTACTGTAAAGGAAGCCACGACCTGGATTACCTTTCAAGTAGCAAATCTGTCCTAAAGCTTCCCAATGGATAACAGTAGGAGAAGACATAAACTGGCTTAAGATGCTCACAGAGTAAGCAATATCTGGACGTGTTACTGTATGATAATTCAATTTGCCCACTAACCTTCTATACATCTCAGGATCATCAAATAGCTCACCATCAATTGAAATTTGCAAATTAGGAGTCATTGAAGCACTACAAGGCTTGGCACCTAACTTTCCAGTTTCCTTCAGTAAATCAAGGACATACTTCCTTTGAGATAAAAAGATGCCTCTCTTACATCTAGACACTTCAATACCCAAAAAATACTTCAACAATCAGACACTTCACATACCCCAAACAAAATACTTCAAAACAAATCTTAAGTCTTTGTCTGGGAACTGAGTTTGAGAGAAATGACTTGAGTATATGGTAATACTGGCTGAAAGTTTACTCCATTGAATATAACCAATATCATCCAAACAACATAATACAGCAAGGTTAGACAACCACGTCTCTGTACTTCGGAAAAATACAAAATTGATTCAGAGAGTACTCTTTGCATGCCAAATTTATTGCACCGCATTGCAAAAAATCTACCCAAACCAAGCCGGGACTCTGTTTTAGGTCCATTAAAAGTAGATTTCTTGAAGTTTTTACACCACTTACCCGGGGGGACTCCCCCTGAGCAACAAAGCTGGTGGTTTGCTTCCATTGTAACTTCCCTTTCCCGGATTTTTGATCCCCATCGAAGGAAAGAGGGCATTCTTAACGTCAGCTATGGGAAAGCAGTTCAAAAAGTAGCTGGCTTAAAGAAATAAATAACCCTGAACAAGGAAGGACCCAATTTTGGGTGACGGAGAAAGAAGTATCAGAATAATCACAGGCCATTTAAATCGTGAGAATAAGCGCGCTTTTTGTCATAACTTAATCGAGCCTTGAGACGACGCAATAAACAGACCCATCAGGATTCACCTAACCCGGAGAAGAGAAAACCGCACTTTACAAACCAATAGCTTTACTTACCTGCCCGGGAGAAGCCACAAGAATTCTCCCAAGTACCATAGTATCTAAAGGCAGCCATTCTTCTCTTTCAATTTGCTACACACACAAAACACCCAGGGGATAGGGACAAAAGTCTGGGCAACAAAGTTGTATGTAAGAGGGAACCAGAAGTCTAGGTTACTTACGAAAAACAAACAATGATGGAAAGAAAGATGATTCATTAAACTGGAACAAAAAGAGTGAAATTAGGATAGGTACACTTGTGTTTACCTTCTTAGTCGAAGAAAGGCAATGAGGGAAAGGTCAAGGTCTGAGCTGGGGCGATGGATGGGCAACAAGCTCAAGGTTGAGTGGAGGAACCCAGCATCTCTGGGTTTGAAGGCGGCTTAGGCGGAGCGAAAGTTTGGAGCTCCAAGAGTTGCCTGGTCTCCTGGAATAAAACTGTTGTCAAAACTGACGGGCGAGCCACCAGTATTTGCTGCGTTGGCAGGAGCTGGGAACAGGTTCAGGAAATAGGAAGCAAGCGAGTAGTGAGAAGTTTATGAAATTTGCTGATAGGTCATAAAAAACTAAAAACTCATCATCCTCCCCCTTACTGGCTTATATATAGAAGAAGGGAAAAAACTGGAGTATTCTCAAAGATGTGGACAATATGCCAGGAAAAAAAATATAATGGTCAAGATTCGGGATGAGAAAACAACGATAAACCTTTGACGCCGAGGAATATCCAAGGAAACCACAACGAAGGGACTCTGGATCTAAAGTTGGACAACGCTAAGATGGGACGAACATCACGAACAATAACATAGGTACAACCAAAAATACGAGGTTTCATGAGAGAGAAACAAAAGTTCAAGGAAACAGAAGACCATTATAAGGAATTTCACCATTAAGAAAACAGAAAGGAAGGGCATGCGGCGGATTAATTTCAAAAAAACATTGCGATTAGGAGACAGCATCAGCCCAAAATGTTTAAGGACCTTCTTTGGAAATAGAAGTGCCCTAGGCAACCTTTCAAGAAAGATGTTGATTTTGTTCTGGGGAAAACGCCCATTGAGGAAGGGAGTATCAACAACCACGGATCGTTTTTGAAATGGAGAATACCCAGTTCTGTGACATTTATAAAGACTTGGAAAAGAACTAGATAGATATTTCTTTAGCATTTTATCACTTGGCAATATGCGAACAGAGGTTATTAAAATTGAGTTCTTAATTTTCAGCACAAAGGAACAAAAAATAGAGAATTATTCTCAAAAGAGTTTTCTATTAAAAAACAAAAACCAATGTAAACGACGAGACATAATCATCCACAAAAGAATAAAACAAAAAATAGACGAAAGCCAGTTTTAGAAATTAACAGTGACATGGACCCCAAATCCATCAGAACTTGAAACTAAACCTCAAAAGGCGATTGAACACCTGTTTATTTACTCGAGGAACTTAAAGGTAACGGATTGATGTGGCAACATTGGGGACAAGATTTCACATTTTCTAAAATTGACAGAAGGACTGAAACTGTGGGATACACTTCTTTAAAGTAAGGGACCAATATAGGATGACCCAAACGTGCATCATGAACCTCAAAGAGGAGATAGCACCAGGCAAAGCCAGAGATAACGAAATGTGTTTCATTCTAGCAAAGATTAAGGCCACCCAGAACTTCACGTCCTCTACCAATAAATCGACCACCAGCACAAGCCAGAGATAACGAAATGTGTTCATCTAGAAGATAAGGCCACCAGACTCACGTCCTCTACCAATAATCCGCTTCGTCAAAAGATCCTGAAACACACAATATGTAGGATAAAATTTAACATAACAATTTAGTATACGAGTAATTTTGCTAATCGACAGTAGATTAAACAAAAAACGAGGCAAGCAAAAAACAGAAGATAATGGAAGAGATGGAATGGGATTGGCAGTGCCAATACACGTGACAGAAAATGTGGACCCATTAGCTAGAGTAACATGACAATTAAATTGTTCAGATTCTTTTAATGAGGATAAGAGACTAGGGTTACCTGTTATGTGATCTGTGCAACCAGAATCAATGGCCCACTCTGATGAGGTAGACATAAGACATGAAGGAGTACCTGAATTGGCAGTAGCAACAATCGAGGAATCAGCAGACTTAGAAGAACGGTATCTAGAGAGCTCAGCATACTCCGTAGTAGAAATTGTTACAGTGTTACCAGAGGAAGTAACTGGAGAATCTTGAGTGGCCATATTTACCCTTGGTGGTTTATTGATCAGTTTCTTGCAATACCGTTTAGTGTGACCAGGTTCATGGCAATAATGGCAGATAAGAATACTTGCCTCCCGAGTAATTAGTCCATTATTGCGATTATTTCCTCCTCGTCCTCTGTTTCTTGGCTGTCGAGATACTTGATTACGACTCACAAGGGCACTCTTATCAGAAGGGGAACGGGTATGAGAACCCTCAGTACGTAGCAATCTAGCAAAAGTCTCCTGAAAGAGGTAACATCACCGCCTGAAAGAACCTGTGATTTGGCAGTTTCAAAAACCGGAGCAAGACCTGCAAGAAAACTCATCAGAGCCATTTGTTCTCGCTGGGTCTGTTGAACCTTAACATCGAGACTAAAAGGCAATAAAACATTAAGTTACTCATAAATCTTCTTAAATTCCATGAAATAGGTTGTAAGGGGCTTATCTTGCTGGTCGGCTCGATAAAAACCTTTGCAGACCTCATACATATGAGACAGATTACCTTTTCCTGAGTACAAGAATTCAAGATATTCCATTACTCATACATATGAGACAGATTACCTTTTCCTGAGTACAAGAATTCAAGATATTCCATTAATTCTTTAACAAACTCACAATGATTGATTAACCCAACAGTGTCTGGTGTCACCAGTTGGTGGATCATCAATTAGATGATCATCTTTTTTAACACTCCGCAAATAAATTCTAATTGTCTTACTCGAATCTAAATAATTAGTTCATTTTAATTTATATTCTATGATTTTATTCATTGCTGGGATCAATTCAGTAATAGTAGTTTTAGAATCTGTAGATGCAGGATTTATTATTAATAAAAACTAAACACCCTACCAGCAACGCAGAAAGTAAAAAAAAAAAAAAAAAATAGCCTTTTCACGCAAACAGGAGCAACAGTAACTGAAAACGGCAATTAACAAAAATGAGAACGCCCCTACCAAAACTTCGCCGGATCGCAGCCTGGGAACCTTCTGAGGTAAGCGGTGAGACAAAATTGTGACCCTAGAACTTGTCACCGGACACTGACAAGGCGCTGGAATTTTCAACGCAAACGGGGAAAAAAAATGTTTAACGAGCCAAAGGCTCGTACCATGGAATTTATTGTTGGAAATTAGTATATTTCTAGCTAATAATTTCATCGATTATTTAGGATTATCACAGATATCTTAGGGTATATATAACATCGAGCGATTACTAACGCGATTACTATATATACATGATGTATACCTATAGGAATCTATAACTTGTCCTCACACTAGAGTTACTGATTGGTAACAAACTATACCAACCAATACCTTAACAGAATTGCAAAATATTAGGGACACACATATATATACACACATACAAGATACTATAAACCTATTAGGAATCTAACTCCTAATAGAGTTCTATTTACAACTAATCCTTAACAGATTTGCTAGCTCAGTTGCGACTCATGATGAAATTGTTAGATGCCTTGATGCTTGGTGCCTTAGTCAATCAGTAATTGCTTGGTTGTTATATTCTTTTGGTCTGCAATCATATTCCTGTATATGTTTCTTCCGCTATCTTTATCTAATTGGTCATTTACCTAACATAATTTGAGGATTTTATTATTCCTTGTGATAGTTCTGGTTGGTCTTTTACATGCTTATATTTTACATATGTTCACATGGAATTATGAATTGGCCAGGTCATGATTTTTTAATCTTCTTTGTTGAGTTGGATGATTGCAGAGTCTTAATGCCAAAACTGGACTATTTAGTAAAAGAATGAAGATTATCCATCGCAATCCTAAGCTTCATGCACAAAGGGTGGCTGCAATTAAGGTCTGCAATTATATATACACACACACTCTCATATATTGACTTGTGTTCATCTCCTTTAACATTTGAAGTGTAGAACCATGTCATGCATGAATATCTTTTATTTTCTGTCGATTACTGCAGGCCTTAATCTGTAGCAATAAATAGTGTCCACAAAATTTATTGTGGTTTACTGTTATATTCTGTAGTTGACATTATTGATTCATTCTACTTAACTGAGACCAGGACCATCTTTCCCAATAGCTAGATATGAAATGAAAAATTTAGCTGTGGATGTCCTTGGGATCTACTCTTGGGAGTCGGCATTTGGCTGTGCACCTCTTTCTTTTATTTATTTATTTATTCATTTTTGTTTAAAAAGGAAACCATATACGTCATGCTAGAAAATTGAAGTTGTAGTTAGCAGGAGAGCATTAATACCTATTCAATTACTAAAGATCATGAGCAACTTCATTGAATTATCTAAGAGGAGAATGTATTCAATTACTAATTTTCAGCTCAGTTGACAATGAAAAGATTTGGTTTACTGCACACCTTGTAAATGCAATGCAGAAAGCCAAAGGAACTGCTGCAGCAAGGAAACATACTTCTGAAACTTTGAAAGCTTTTTTCAGTGATCCTGAAAACCGTCGCAAGAGGAGCATTGCTATGAAAGGTTAGTTTACAAAATTTGCTGAAAGTTTGACTTTGATTCATTTGAACTACAAGTTTTCCTTACCTCATACATGAACTTGCCTTTTGCAATCATGTTCCAGAACTAAACTTGAAAATCCATTTCCCAGTGTGTTTTCTGTTTTGCTTTTCAAGGGGATAGATGTTACATAAAATTGGTGAAGAACTTTGACAAACGCGACCTTGGATTTGATGAAAACTAGTTATGGTAACAAAACAAGTTTGGTTCTGATATTCCCATAGAGTGAGCACATAGCTTGTGCTTTCATTTAGCTCTTGCCATTGACAAGTAGCTTCCATCTAATTGCTTTATGAACACTTCAAGTTGCATGCGTGCAAGGTTCTGTTGTATGACATTCCTATGATACTTGAACACAGTGAAGTGATGTTAATCCTGGATTTCTCTTTTTGATGTAGGAGTGAAATTTTACTGTAGAAACTGTGGACGGGAAGGACACAGGAAACATTACTGTCCGGAACTAAAGCATAGCTCAACAGACAGGCGGTTTAGATGTCGATTGTGTGGGGAAAAGGGCCATAACAGAAGAACATGCCAGAAATCGAGGATGATCAATCAGAAAGGCACAATTAGAAGGCTATATCAGTGCAAAACTTGTCACCGAAGTGGCCATAATAGCAGGACATGCCCTAAAATTAAGGTTTCAAAAAGTTTACGTGGTAGAAATGCAAAGAAAGATTCTCTCATACCTAGACGTAGAGTATACACCTGCAATTTCTGTAGGGAAAAGGGGCACAATGTAAGGACATGTCCAAACAGAAATACAGAGCCTACAATGAGTTCTGGAAATAATGAGGATACCAACAACCTTGTTATGGACTGATGCATTTTAATTGAACGTGCGGAGGGGAAAAGCGTTTTATTTTTCTTTCTAAAAGTTTCATCTGCAATATCTTTAGCTGTACCTTCTATGTTACTGTCTCAGTATTTTTTAATATTTTTTTATGATAAAAGATGTGGTTGTCTTCTCCCATTCCCTATCAGAGTCAGATTGAATTCAATGCCTCTTATTTTCAGTGATTGATAAACAAAACCGATCAGACCAACTTCAAGAACCAATGGAAAAAAAAAAAAAACATTAGTTTGTATATATTGTGCATCTTTATCCAAGAACTATCTCATTTTACATTGCATTCCATTTCATTAGTCTGTATACTTTTATCAGTTTATATGATTTTAAGACTTCAGAAAAGTTACAGGTTCAATAACTTGCATTTGTAGATCCTAATTACAGAACATAATCCACAATAAGTAGTTCTTGAAATAGTGATTGCCCTTCAATACCCTATTTACTCGTGTAATAACCTATGCCTACTTATATGACGTTGAGGTGTGACTAGCTAGGAGCGTTCAAACTTTAGCAAGCTTCAATTTTTAGAATTGTTGAAAACTCTTTTCCCTTTTCATTTTTCAGGGGAAATTCTGCTAAAGCTTTGGTAGGCTTCTATAAATTGTTTAGGCAGAGATTGAGGTGAATAGTTTAGGTTTGTTATATGTTCAGTTAACCTTACTCTTTACCATATCCTCACATTGTCCACCACACTCTGTGTTCGGGTTGTGACAGGTAAAAATAGAGGAGGGTTATCCATGTCTCATGCACTAAAGTCAAAAGAAAAATTGAAAAGAGAAAATCTATGCTAAAGAAAGAGAAAAGAGAGATGTGGAGGATCCAACTATTGGCAAATTAACTATCCTAAAGAAAAGAGGAAAGAAAAATCATTAAATTATTGAGCTATGATACCTTTTGCCTTCAGCCACCAGTTCTTGGACTCCTCCGGCTGTTGGTTGGGGTTTCTTTGCGAAATGGATGCGGGGAGGTAATGGGTTCTGGAAATAAGTTTGTTAATGCTGTTTTGACAGCTGAAAATACAGAAGTTGAAGCTGCTATTTTCAGTTCACAAGGCAGCAAAAGTGGGATTTAGTTCTTTGATTCTTTTGCTAGTTCTTTAATGAATGTTCAATGTGTTCATGTTTCATGGATGTAACAAACTTGAAGCACATGATCTATCAAAATTAGTTTGTCTAAATTAGAAAATGTTTGGATATAGGAAGTGCCTCCTTCTATCCTTCATTTGTTTTCACTGATTATATTTCATTACATTTATAAAAGATCTAAACTTTTATTTTCAAAAGGGAAAAAAAAAAAATTTGCATTCAAAGTATATACGAGCCTCATTTCTGCAACACAGGTTATAAAGTATATACGAGCAACAAAGCACGCAAAACATGGAATTGAAAGGCAAAAATTCCAAATGCATAATTCACATCTGAAGACTATAAGAAACTAGCCATGATCCCGTCTTATATATTATTTAAATAATTATTATTTTATCAAATTTTAGGAAAAAACTTTCTTAAATCGAGTCCATGGCCAGATTTATGGGTCAAATCAATTACAAAGGTATATCTTACTATACACTTGAAAAAAAAATGATGAAATAAAATAATTTTTAAAGAATTCTTAATTTCATTGGTTTGCTAATTTCATTCTACCTTGTGCAAGAATTTCATAATCAATATTAATAGGGAACAATTAGAATATTTTTTTCTTAATTTACCTAGGGTGATAAATCTTATGTTAATTATATAAGTATTTTCATATAGTTCCTGCTATCTTCATTGTTTATTACCCATAAAATGAATAATGTGAATATATAATCAAAACATATCAATCCCTATACAAGATATTTTAGTAATTTCAAGTTAAAGGATCACTTTGAGTATTCCATAGACACAAGTAACTCTTCATATGAAATTCTCATGTAGGTCGAATTAGTGGACTTGTTTAAATAACATTTACTTACATATTAGTTCTAGATATCACATATATCTCAGTTTATGAGAATACCTTTACAAAGGGAAGAACATATTATATATCAATCTCAACAGTTCTAATCATCGTCAACAATAAGGAGAACATTGACAAAAAAATATTTAGAGACTTTGTTTTGATGCAAAATAAAGCTCATAATTATAACCACATTATAATTTACCATACAAATCAATATAATCTCGTGGACTTTATCTTTACGAGATTCATTTAACAGAATATAAAAAATAAATACATGTCCTTTATTAATAATGAAATATTTAATATATGAAACATTATGTTCAAATACAATCAATTGTTTGGCTATAGGGTGTATTGAATATTTGTTTTAAGAGCTTATATGGTTCTTGCTAAGAAGGCTGCTGAAGTTTGAAGTTTTAGTTAAAACGTTCCTTTTTGTTTTGTTGCTGATTTTTAGGAATAATCATATATGCTTAATATGTAGCATGATTTGCTATTTTTCTGTTCTATCTCTTCCTATAAATATTTGTAATATTTTTCAATACAAGTAAGCCTTTCAGCAGTTCAAATATATCCTTGTCTTGCTTATTTCTCTTTAAGTTTCAGATTTAAAAATATTAACTGGGTGTATAGATTAACAACATGGTTGTTGCAAATGGTTATTTTTATATTTATGAAATATCTATTTTGGCTACTTTGTTATAATATAGATTTATGTAATATCTATATGATTTCATAATGTGGCAGTTGAGAATGCATTAATTAGTAGGGAGAAGAGAACAAAAATACAACATATAGATTATTAATGAGTTTAACTAACGATGCGCCCTTTCATTTGTGTGAGCACATACATTAAGTAAATGTAGGGGTGTCAAAATAGGTTCACATGTTTGGTTCGACATAAATCCGCCTAACAAGCGGCACAATTAAGGTCAACACGGAGAAGATCCTTTTATAGTCGTATCAAATATTTAAATACGAATAGGATAAAAAAATGAAATGAGTAACATGAATATGACACGTATAATCCGTTTAATTAAATGAATCATAAATGAGTCAATATATTCAATCAAATTTAATTAAATGAGTCGTATACGGGTCAAAACATGATACGTATAACATTTATAATTTGCATACCCACCTAATATATATTCAAATATATTCAATCAAATTTAATTAAATGAGGTTCGTATACGGGTCAAAACATGATACGTATAAACTTTATAATTTGCTACCCACCTAAAATATTATATATATATATTATTATATTATATATATTATATTATATTTTAAAATTACATTTTCATCCTTAAATAACTAGGTTAGATGAGTTAACCCGTGACACGATCCGTTTAAACTCGTGTCATATACGAGTCATTCGTTTATGACACGAACCCATTTAGACTCAACCCTAGCCTATTTAATTTTCATGTTAGGCAAATCGTGTTTTTATGTCATAGCCTATTTTGACATCTCTAACTAGATACCTAAATAAGAGGCACGTTGTGTTACCAACAAAGTTTGAGGGCAAAATGAGATCCAAAAGTTTGGTAAGTACTCAATAGAAAAATAGTTAAATGCATAAACTCACCCTTGAACTTTACAATTTTAACCTTATGACATCCTGAACTTTGCGGATGACATATCATGCACTTGAACTTTTAAATTTTGATAATGTTACACACCTTTCAACATAATATCAATAATTTTTATGATTTTTTACTTTTATCTATAAAATATAAATTAGATATGTAGTTGGCATGAATTTTTGAAAAATAATTTTCATAAATTTCAACTTTTTAATAAGTGTTTAATTGATTTAATTTTACAAATTGAAGTGTTTAATAAAATAATTTTGAAAATTGAAGTATAAATAGATTTTTGAAATTTGAAAGTGTAAGAGAAATTTCAACTTTTTAATAAGTGTTTAATTGATTTAATTTTACAAATTGAAGTGTTTAATAAAATAATTTTGAAAATTGAAGTGTTTAAGAGATATAATTTTATAAGTTAAAGTGTTTGATGGGTCGACGTAAAAGTTGCGGGTGTTACAAGATTAAAGTAATAAAGTTCAGGGGGTGACTTTATGTATGTGGCTATAGAAAAATCTTGTAAAGTTTATGGGATTAAGGATGCTTTTATCCTCTCTTTTAGTGACTTTTAGTCCTTTTTATGACTTGCGTTGCATGTTGACTACACTCATTCTTTATACTCGTTTAATTTTTTTTATTTATATAATATTAAGCATAAGTTCTTATTTAGATTAAAATAAATATAATGGTTAATTTACATTGCAATTTATCTAAAAACTACTTGTAATGCTCTTTCTATATACTTCTATTTTTATATAATGAAGTGGTCTCAAATAAAATTCAACTATATCCCTAGACCTAATCATTCAGCTCATAATCTATACATGCAGATTCTTGAAACTCTAATAGGTGATCAAGTCATCACTACTCAACCCATGTTGCCCAATCTCAAATCAATATCTATATATATTTATAATGAAGTAAAATATAAAAATTATTTTATTCAATATCTATATGTTCTTACTGCTAGACAAAAGAAAAGAAATGAAAAGTGATTTGAATTTTTTAAAAATAACATGAGCCATAACGATATTGGTAATCATTAAGGCGTGGACTGTTAGAATTTAAATCCCCAAGATACTCATATATAAATTAAAATTACAAAAAATAGAATAACATACAGGTTCTCTTGTTTGCTTCCATTGACACCATCTTAATCTCAAAAGCAGGTTGAACTAAATAGAAATAGCCACACACAATTGTCCGTGGAACGGTTAGGTGCTTCCTCATTATGTCTACGAACTCTCGATGGGTGGAGTATAATATTGTGTTTTTTACGACGTAGACTAGAGAGAGAGGACATAGCCTATATGTATAGGAGACTATTCCCATCATAACCCTAATAGAATATACAATCCTAATCCAAGTTAGGGTTTAACCGCACTTAACCCAAAACATATTTAACTAGCTCATCAATACTTGAATGATCACTCCTTAATAATGGGCTTTAAGTTAAACCTTTTCGATTATAAAGCTTAACCCAAATATTTTATAAAACCAAATAAAACACAATCAATAAGTCCAAAAAAATAAATATCTAACACACTCCCACTTGGGCGCTATTTGATTGTTAATTTTATAATAAAAACTTTTATTTAGAAAACGACTATTGGGTTAG